CTCCCAAATCATTCAGGCTGTAAGACAGAACTGCTCCAATTGTCTATCTTGTTGCAAAATCTTTTCTATCTACCACAGAGACTACTGACAACTTTCATGCAACTTAGTAAAATCCTTATTAGTTAAATTTAGAATTTCCTACTACAATGGCTTGTTTAGATTGGAAAAGAAGGGCTTTGTACCATCTGAGCTTTCAAAGAGTGATTCTTGAGTACTACCAACATGATTTCTACTCCCTGAAGTTCCTTCTGCCTTTCACTTTGACAAACTAACTTTGTCAGTATACTTGTTTAGCTGAAAGGAAGAAGATAAACTTTTATGAATGACTCTTTTCAAGGGAAGATTGGTTTAGATTGTAACTACTAGGTCCTCTCAGCAGTAAGCAAGAGATTATATTACATGTTCATTTTATCACACATTTGTAAAGCTTACCACACAGTAATAGCTCCACATGCTCTACAACTGCAATAATATTTCGTTGCAGAAAATTTTTCACTTTAGAGCCAGCATAAATATACAAAGTATACAGTTTTTCTCCATAAAATGGATGTGCTATCACATGCACTGCAGCTATACTGATTCTGCTGTACCATGCAAATCCCTGTCCTTGGAAACTAACCCAAATCTTTTATATCAAAGCTGTTAAGGGTAGCCACTTCCAGAATTTCAAGTGTAGATACAACTATTACTAGGAAGGATGCTTTCAGGTGGATATTTGATTCCTACTAATCCATCACAAAGAGTCAACAGTGCTTTCATGCAGCCTGCTTCTTGTTTCATTTCACACAGACTCTCAAAAATACTCTTAAGTGTTTGCCAGAAAAAAAAGACTCCCGCTAACAACAAACAGACACTGCTATTTGGCTTGCCCACATTAAGATTTGAATCATACTATCAACAGCAACCTATTAAAAGTGCTTATCCATCATAGCTGTGCTAAGCACAATACTCAATAGCAATTTCAGGGCACCTAAAAGTACTCCTGATGGTGCTTTGAAACATGCTACTGAATATCCCCTCCTCCCTTCACCTCAACTACCCTAAGGAATTGTAAAGCTGGTTAACTGAGAATAATAGTCTTATATTTGGACAGAAATCATCTTGCAACAGCAGTTGTTTCAAATTGATCAAACTTTAAATCAGGCTTCCCAGATAAGATCTGATTTTTTCAAAACCACTTTGTTTACCCAAAACAACTAGCTTACCCAAGGTGTTCGAAGACTTAGATCCAGAAGGATATGATTTCAGTTCAGCCTGCAGCATGCTGTCAGTCACACACTAGGTTCTGGAATGTTTGTACAAACAGAGGAGTATTTCTGTTCTTGTTCACAATATCAGCACACCGAAAACAATTTAGACAGCACTGGGTGAGATCACTTTGCAAGGGTTCAAAATACTGAATCCACAGAGGACCCAAACTTTTATATCCAACAATTACTAATCCACCTCATACATGTGCGTATGTGCAGTTCCATAGGGATTCACCAGCCTGGTTATGCATCTATTATGTATGGATCTGCCTAGGCAGGCCACCTTTCATGCTGAATTTGGATTCTGTAGTCTCCTTGATCTCCCAACACTGGCCTAAACTGAGATCATGTCTGAGAACCATCAGAAACAGGCCCAGGGAAATGATACTGCAAGGCAGAAAATGCAGAGAGTAACTCCTGAAATTTGCAAACCTACTCTTCACTCCTCACTACTTCAAGATCTTATTAAGTATAACTGCTTGGAGACTGTCCAGGGATAGCAATGACTGAAAGTATTCCCTGCCTTAAAAGTTCTGGTGCTTGATCAAATTTTTAAATAAAAAAATAGGACATCAACTAAATTCCTAACCTTAGATTTCAGCTCACTAGTGACAGAACACTTGTAGCTCCTGAAAAGCTTTGACTTTGTAATTATTCAGTTTGTCAGCTGAGTAACTGCTACTTCCAACAACCTGTTGGTAAGGTTAACTAGGCCTCTAACGTGTGCAGTTTCCATGATAGTGATGGGATCCTCATGATTTGAAAAGCTACATTCTCAGCAGCAGCATGGCAGCAGCTCCCTTCTCTCCAGACAGCTCATGTTTTCTTCACACTCCCCAGATCTTTCAGCTGCTGCAAACGCGTCATCTTCTTAAAGACTGGGAATCAACCACTGGTCAGCTTGACTGGGTGCTACCTAACCTACTTCTGCTTGGTGATAAGGCACACACCATACCACAAGCCCTGCTCAAAAGACAATTTAGGCCTTTAAGCTTTTTTTGTTGTTGTTGCTATTGTTGCTTTATTTGGTGGAAATTAAGCTGTGTTTCCTTTAACCACCCTTAGGAATAATTCACCAACATCTGAAAAGCCTGCCCTTTTTATGTTTACAAATGGCAAGTTACGCATGTCTTCCCCCAAAACCAGAAGTTATTATGAAGGCTAGTCAGTGCTTTGTGATAATGTGATTTTGAAAAACTGCTATTTCCTTCAGGTTTTTCTGTAAGGGTACAATTTTTGTGGAATATAACAGCAATTGAAAGCTTATGGTACAGCTTCTCTGCTGCATAAAAAGAGGCCTGTCAGAAACTTGATTGCAGCTGAGTGATTTTCAAACTAGTTTTCAGCCAGCTCACAAATGTTACATTTACCTAATACCTGCTTTAAAACACACCAGCTTGCCCCTGTGCTATGTGAGAACAGCCAGGCTAATACTGCTTTCAAAGACCTCAGGCTCTACAGTAGTGTATCTGAAAAGACTAACTCTTTGGCTGATGAGAAATACTGACTCTTTGGTTGATGAGAAAGTGAACATGAATCCATGTTTAACTCTCTTAAGCCTGGGGATATAGTGAGATACATATCTACTGCTGCACTTTCATTGTTTTAATTTTTCTTTCATGCATTACTAAAGACAAAATTGGATTGCTTGCTGCTTACATTCTTCTGAAAATGTTTCTGCATACTTAACAGAAAGAGACTGTATATCCTCCACCAGTGTATTTTTTGCTTGCTTGGCCACTTCCCACATAGGGTATAACCAAATCTTCCAGATCATTTCATCAGCTTTTATCTGATGCCTAAATCTGCAGTGATAGAAAAGAACGCTGCTCTCCAGGATGTACAGCACACATCACCCTTAGCTTTACAACACAGATATGGTCCTTCCTTTGGCTTCTGAGCCATAATTTCCTCCTTTTTATTAACAACTGTGAGTATTCTAGACGTAATCTTGATTCTCCCACATTTATGAGGCTGCTTTGTTAATGACCAGAAAATGTTTGGACTGCCAGAGATCTTCCTCAAACACTTCAGCCTCCAAGAACAGGATGCTAGTCAACACAGAAGCTTCAGAAAAAAGCTGTGACTCACTCTTGCTTCTCTGGCAAATGCATATGAAATGTTTCATTTTCCCAAAGCTTCCTTTGATTTGGAGCAGGACAGCAATATCACAGATGGGCCAATGCATAGTCTACTGACCTTATTTTTGACACATGTATTCTGGGATTATTAAGAGTAAGGTTTTGTTTGTTTGTTTGATTTATATACACGAGAAATGCAGTATCCAAAGGGCACCAGGAAACTGGCCCTTGGCCTTGGAATCACAGGTGATTAATCATTCCTTTCGGACATGCTTATGGGAATTGTCTGTCCTGGGTTACTGTAACCTATGTGCTCTGCAGTATCCTTGGAAACCTCAGAGAGCAGCAGGCACTATCGGTTCTCAAATATGACTGGCCAACACAAACTTACAATGCCATCTCTCAGTGCAGTTCACATCAGATATAAACATATACAACTGCCCAAGACAGCCATTTCAGAGCATGCCCTCATCTCCAGGGCTTGTCACAGATCCTGCACTGTCTTGCAGCCTAGCCAAAAGTGAAAACTTCTGCTGCATTTGAAGCCATTGGGTGCTCTTGGTAATGACCTTTGAAGGATTTTGGTTTAATCTCTAGTCAGAATCAAGCCATACAACTAACAGAACCTATGAAGCACTATGTCCTTTCCTCCAACCATGCATCAAACTACTTTCTGTGAAAAAATCTTATCATGACACACTGAGAGAGCTAGGGTTTTTCAGCCTGAAAAAGCTCCAGGGAGACCTTATAGCAGCCTTCCAGTACCTAAAGGGGGCTTACAGGAAAGCTGGAAATGGACTTTTTACAAGGGACAGTAGTGACAGCACAAGGCGTAATGGCTTTAAGCTGAAAGATACATTGATTAGGAAGAAATTCTTTCTTGTTAGGGCGGTAAGGCACTGACACAGGTTGTCCAGAGAAGCTGTGGCTGCCCCATCCCTGCCAGGGTTCAAGGCCAGCAAGCCTGTGCCAGTCCAGGTTGGAACCAGGTTATCTTTAAGATCCCTTGCAAACCATTCTGATTCCGTGACTATGAAAATCGGGAACGAACCCTCTGCACACGGTTTCCCTGTGAGAGGACTTTTTACCTGATGTACTTCCACACCTAAGCACCTGCTAGCTGGAGGCCAGAGGCCCTGGCAGGGCAGGACTAGCCAGAGGGTACTGGAGAGTGGCCAGGGGCGCTCCAGTGCAGGAACGGGGAGACCAATGTACCCAACGGGGCTGACCGGGAATAAACCGCAGTGCCGGAGTCGGGGCAAGCAGAGCCAGCGCTGCCTTAGCAACTAACCGCGGGAAGCACCCGGGAGCCACCGTACACCCAAGGCCGCTACAACACACTTGGGCCAGACACGCCGCTTCCCACCAACCCCCCCCACCGGCCGTGGCCGGGCACGTGCCGCTCCCAGCATGCAGAGCGGGGCGCCCGAGCGGCCGCGCCGTACAGCAGAGAGGCGGGGCGTGGCCCCACATTCCCTCGCCCACACCGGCAGCGCAAAGAGGGAGGGCGGGAAACCGGCAGCGAAGAGGCGGGGCAGCGCTCCGGGCCCCGCCCATCTTCCTCCGCCGGAGGCAGCAGGCGGCCGGCAGCCAATGGAGAGGGCGCCGAGGTGGGGCGGGGCCTCGGGAGGCCGCGGGGCGGGGCCGGCGCTGAGTTGCCGCAGCGCCACAGCTGCTTGTAAACAGATCCCGCCCCACGTGACGCGTGCGAAGTACCTGCGCGGGGGCACCGGGCATTGTCCGTCGTGGCTGCAGGCTGAGGAGCAGGGTCGGCCGCGGCACTCTTCTGCGGCGGGCTCATCGCTGACAGGAAGCGGTTTCTCTCTGTCCTGCCTCCCTCGCCGCGCCGGCGGTGATCCAGCGCATCCCCCGCCTCGGCGCCTTTCCCGTTCCCCCGCCGCTAAGATGGCTGATGGTGGGCGGTGAGGTGGCGAGCGGAGCTGCGGGACGGCAGACGGGACGGTCGAGGGGAGGGTGGGGGGCGCGTGCGGGAAGCCGCGCAGCGCAATGTCTGCCTTCGCCCTGGAGGAAACGCTGGAGGCCGACTGGGTGGCCGTGAGGCCTCACGCCTTCCAGGAGCGGGAGAAGCACAAGTTCGTTTTCATCGTGGCCTGGAACGAGATCGAGGGCAAGTTCGCCATCACCTGCCACAACCGCACGGCGCAGCGCCAGCGTAGCGGCTCCCGGGAGCTCCGGCGCGGCGGCCCCGCAGGCCCCGAGCCCAGAGGCTCCTCGAAGGCCAGCAGCCCCGCGGTGCGCAGGGACAGCGGCCTGTCGCGGGGCTCCTCGCATCTCCGCGCAGAGCCGGGGCTGCGGGGGGCGGCGGCCGAGGCGCTGCCTAGGAGCCCGCTGCGCACCAAGAGCAGCCCGGCCCGGAGGCCGCAGCGGGGCCCGGAGGCGGCAGGTGCTGCCGAAGAGATAGAAGTACTAGAGCTGGGGAAGGAGGAGGCGGCTACAGCGCTGTCGTTGCCGCCCTCGCCGCTCCAGGCATCAGAGCCGGGCGCTCCCGACGCGGAGACCACCGGGGAGGAGTGTAGCTGGGCCGGCCTCTTCTCCTTTCAAGACTTGCGGGCTGTACACCAGCAGCTGTGCTCGGTGAACTCGGAGCTGGAGCCCTACCTGCCTGCCTTCCCTGAGGAGCCCTCGGGCATGTGGACGGTGCTGTTCGGAGCCCCGGAGCTATCCGAGCAGGATATGGACGCTCTCTGTTACAAACTGCAAGTTTACTTGGTCCACAGCTTGGATACCTGCGGTTGGAAGATCCTCTCGCAGGTGCTCTTCACCGAGGCTGACGATCCCGAAGAGTATTATGAGAGTCTGAGTGAGCTGCGACAGAAGGGGTACGAAGAGGTGCTACAGCGGGCCCGCAAGCGAATCCAGGAGGTGAGGCTTCAGCATGATCCAGATACCTCCAGTTTAGTGTTACCTTTTCTGTGACATCTTTAGCTGTTATCTCCAGCTGCTCCTGCTGGTCGTACTGGTCGAACTATTGGACAGAAAAAAAAAAAAACCAAAACCCCAGAGCCATACAGGAAAAATCTGTAGTTAAAAAAACCCCAACAACCCAACTTTGAAAATCTTGGTAAGAAAATGAGGCTTAACCTTTCAAAGTTCTCTAGGGCCAGGATATAAGAATATGAAGATTTCCCTAGTAATCCAGGTGTGGCTCAGGACTTTATTCTCTATACAGTCAAATGTCAGTGTTTGTGAACTAGTATGTGATGGATTTGGCAAGGTCTTGCTTCCAGATTTTTGTTCTTGCACTGCTTTGCACCACAGTGTGTTGGAGTCTGAATTCTTTTGCTTAATGCGAGCAGCAACATGTGTTTGACAGTACAGTTTAGGTACTTGAGGCCAAAATATTCTAGGTTCCTACAGGATCTGGGTGCTGAATCTGCTTATTTCAAGGGAGGTGATGTTTTCCAGTGGAATTACAGTAATTGCAACTTTTGTTCAGCTGGCAAGTTCTTGGAGTTGGGAGGTTAAAAAGCAAGCTGTCTGTTCCTAGCACCATCCAAATTCTGTTGTGTAGCTATATACATATAATATTTGTTTGGCTGCTTCAGCTGCCTTCATATATCCTGCTAATGTTGTGTGTTCAGAAATATGTGATGGTGGATTTTTTTTTTTTTCCCCCTTGATAGAGTATAAACATATCTCTGTGCTGTCTGTTTTGACAGTTTTGAGTCTTTGTAGGATTCAGGCAGAGCTTTTTCTTAGTGACAGGAGTTACAGAATAGGAGAAAATTGTTTTATCAGTAATGAAATCATGATAAGAGCATCCAAGTGTAGCATTGTAAGGTAAAAGTTAATTTCCAAACTGTTCTGTTAGGGTATGTAATTGTGATTTGTCTTTTGTTTGTGGTTGGTTAAAGGACTGAAGTAACCCTTGTTAAACTCCGTGTACAACTGTGAATTTGTCTAATAGTCTTTTGCAGTAGTTGACTTAGCCCAGAGAATATGAAATCATATTGTCTTCTGGTTTTGTTTGCCTGTGTGACTGCTTGGGAGTGTGTGCTTAGATTGACTTAGCCTCCAGCTCAGCAGTTCTTATAAGGAACTGAGCGGTACAGGGATAAGTTCCTGTTAAATATGTGGAGTTTGGGAACTGCGTGCCTAACTCAAAGCATGTGGTATTTTTTTGTGACAGTAATTTCGTATTACTGAGGAGAACTACTTGTTTCTTGGACAGTCTCAGCTTCTATTTCGTGAGCACCAGCGTTAGCAGCAAAAACCAACTGGTTACTAATATGCAATGCAAGCTTTATCTGTCAAGATCTCTAAACTACAGCATCTTGTTGTCTGTTTATGTTCAGAACTTTGTGCAGACAAAATGGCAGAGCATTTTATGTGTGTATTTGACTACTGTGCAACCTCACTTTCCCATGGTAACCAATTCAGTCGTGGACCTAAAGTCAGTACAGCTATACTTCTGTCACTGTCAGTTGTGTAAATTGATCCGTCTTTAATTAAGGATAGTTCATGTTTAAGAAAGCAATAGAATGACCTGTTTTTTCCCTCTTGGCTCTCAGGTTTCTCGTTTCCTTACCTGTTACTAGTTACTTGGTCCACGGGAAATGTCTTCCTTTTGAGCAAATACTGATACTCTTTGTCATTGCAATTCTAAGCAACATAAGCAATAGATGATGGGTACCACTTGGTATTTCTGAGGTAAAGGTTTATCATACTTTAAAAAACCCCTACTGAATCCATGTTAGAATGGTTAGGGTTGGAAAGGACCTTTAAGATCATCTAGTTCCAAGCCCCCTGCCATGGGCAGGGACACCTTCCACTAGATCAGGTTGCTCAAAGCCCTGTACAGCCTGATGTCGAACACTGTTAGGGATGGAGCATTTATGACTTCTGGACAACCTGTTCCGGTGCCTTACCACCCTCACAGTAAATAATTTTTCCAGTCTTTAATTTTCTTTTCCATTTGTGCTTGAAGGCTGCCTGTTAGCTGATTCTCCTGGCTAGATCATTGCAGGAATGTTGGTTTCCTGCAGTTTTAGATGATTTTACCTCTTGCAAGAAGTTTTGGGGAAAAGGGAAGTGATTGAGTAGCACTGGTAACTGAAAAGGTATCTAGGAGCATAATGAACAAGGAGGGATATTAGTAATCTAAAATTGTGCAAACCCCCCAAGTTTAGGATTCCTAAGACCTTGGCATAATGTTTTAAAATATATCTCTGGTTTGTGCTTACTTCATATTTCATCTCTTTTTGCAGAATAAATTTCTCTCTGCAGTTAGAGTATTACTTGAGAAATGCTTGCAGTTTGTGTTGATTATATTCTTTGGGATGGATAAGCAAAGTGAGCAATAAAACCTCGTGTTTGTTGTTTCAGTAACCCCTACTTGGCCATCTGTTGCTTTCCATAAGTTCAATGCAAGCCAGTTTATTTTCACAGCAGTTAATAATTGTTGCTTTTTGCAACAGTAATTTTTATCTCTGTCTCAGTTATAGACCTTTAATAAGCCAAAAGAATGTTGCAAGTAGAAACAGATCCAAGATGAGGAGAAGAAGTTGTGGAGGAACTGTGTGACCTCAAATTAATTTCTTCCGCATAATTTGCAGTTTTGAAATACCTCATCTTTTTCAAATGAAAGTATCAATTCTGGAGTTGTTTAGGAATTCTATTCATGTTAAAGTAAAAACTTGTACGTAAAGTAGCAGATATTACTCTACCTCATTTTTGAAAACCAGTGAATGCTTGATTGGAGCCTTTGTTTATTAATTTTATGCCTGTCTAAAAAATCCTTGGGTGCTTAGCTAGGGGTCTTAAGTTCCCAAGTGGAGGCATGATACAGAATCAGCTAATGACCAGATAAAGATGAGGCAGCAGAGAGGATGGCAGTGAATCCTGATTTGGGATTCCAGCTTATTGGCTATATTTATGAAATCTTAAGCTTTGCATGTAGAAGGCAGAAAAAGTTTACCTCTGTACTCTCACTCTTGTCAGTTTCTGGTCTGTGTTCCTCCTAGGAAATGGGAGGAGTTTTTCTAAGCTGTGAGTGTGCATTGTAAATTTTTTCTAAGTGTAATATTATCAAAGATGGTGGTTTATCTGTTTGAGTGCTGTGTTGGCAAAAGATTGAACCTAATCACAGTTTTTCTGAATAAAAGGCAGTGTTAACATAAACTATGATTAAGAGGGTTTGGTGGCTTAGTCATGCGAACAAACATGTTCTGTTGTATGCTTATCCTTTTGCTTGCTCTTGCATAGCAAGTTGCGAGTTTGGGAAGACTATATTTACATTATACGCTTACTTCAGCATCTTTGAATTAATGGCACCTGGGAATCTCCCTGTTTCATATAACTCTTAATGGCCATGACAGTCTGAAACTTGATGGATAATAGTGTATAGGATCTTGAATGCCAGCTACAGAAGTAGGTAGAGACTTGCGTTTGTTTTCTTCTTGCTCTGTAAAAATCTATGAATTCTAGTGGCTGCAGGCAGTCTGTTAAAAGACCATTTTGCATCTCTGTTCTGTGTGTGTTCTTTCAAATTGCTTTTGAAAGCAACACAAATGTTCAGAAACATTTTTTAGTGCATGATTAAATTCTGAAGAAATTCTGAGAGCATTGTATTTTCTGAGACTGATTTAGTCCTCCTTGAGAATGAGGACCTACTGCTGTTTTCAATCTCTTGTCTATATAGTGGAATATATTACTTAAGTATTAAAACAGCCCTGAAAACTTCTGTCTTGTGTTGGTTGGCTTAATTTTCTTTTGATTTGAAGGGCTAGAAATGCTAAGGAAAAATAAAAGTATTTTATCTATTTTATTACAGTAACAGCTTGTATGGGAAGAAGATGTGTTTGTTTTTTTGGGTTTCTTTTTTTTTTTTTTTTTACAGAAAGCTGTATGGTCACTTTATTTTCTTTTTAAATCACCATGGATGCAAATTATTTTTTTAACTACTCTGCACGGCTTTAGTAGGCAAGGGTTGTTTTTTGTTTTGTTTTGTGGTTTTTTTTATTGTCATTTTGAATGAAGTTTGATTTTTTCAGATCACATAAATTGGCAAGGAATTGGTTCAGTTAAATCACAGAACTTTGTTGCTTTCCAGGGGTCTTGTAATCTATTTCTGTTTACATCAAACAAGCTAAATAATATCCATAGGTTGTTTTGTTGAATCTGTCCTAATATTTTAGTGAAAAACAATATCCAGGATCATCTCAATAACTAGGAGAATTGCTTTTGGTCTTGTGCATTCAGTTCTAAAATAAACGTGTATGTGGTATGTAGTGAGGCACTGTACCAGAAATGCAAATTTTCCAAAGGTGAGATGACCTGTTGCTGTTCTGTGATTTAGTGCTAGGCACGATGTGATTTAAAGGGATATTCAACATCAAACTCGAAAATAATTGCAAAGTAAATAGTATAAGACACCACAAAAGATACTTAGTGTTCCAATAACACAAAAAATTGGCAGCAGTAGCATTTCCATCAAAACCAGTGTAACACCTCTCTATGCAAGTAGCAAGGAAAAGTGCAATTTAGAAGGTAATATGAGGTATCATGGTAGAGAACACTTTTTCATATTTAACTTTGGGAGCACATAGGGTTAAAATAAGACATTATTTGAGTCTTTTTTTCCCTATTGGTATGAATGGATTAGAGTTAAGACTAATGCTGAGCATTATGGAAATTTAAGCTATTTAGTTTGAATGTTGCTTTTTACATACTCCTTATTTGTAGGTGTGAATAATTGTTTCCGGTAAAATGGTTTGATTGCTTCTAAATGCTTTGTAAATAGGCTGTTTAAGTACTGCACCAGTGCTGTAAATTGCTACTAACCAAAATACATCAGCACCTGTAGGGCATGCTCTGTAGCACAGGCAAGTAGGTTCTTAGGAGATGCCTACATGATGCTAGCA